CCTTTTCTCCTTATTCCATATAGGTTCTAATAATTGTTTTGGCTTCTGCAAAATAACATCAAATATGGAGCTTTCACCAATTTAAGCCACCTCCAGAAACCTTCTACAATGTGATCCAATGGCAAATAATTTCATCAAAAGAAGAAGAAGGTATTTTTAATACACCCTTGGATCTCAAAAATTTCCAGAATATACAATTATCAATGATCATTGAACAATAATCATAAACAATCACAATGATCATAAATATAAAAAAATGAAAACTTTGTACAATGGCTAGTGAAAAAGAGGGAAGAGGAATGATGAAAAGACAATGGGGATTTAATGTTTTTATTTGGTAATAATCAGGGTTTCTATTATTATTTTCTATAATCAAAGAAGATTTTTTTTTTCGTTTTCTCCTCTCCCTTTCAATAGGGAGAAGAAAGAAAATGAAAAAAAAGAAGGAAGAAAGAAGACATGTTTTTCCGTTACAAATGCTTCAACCTTTTACGTGTTTAATTGGATTATTTTTTAAGATTAATTAATATACTTATTATAGTAAGGGTAAACTACATGTTTAGTACTTAAACTATTATGTTTTTCGTTCTGGTATCCAAACTTTCATTTAAACCATACCTAACATTCAATTTAAGTTTCGATTTCATACTTGTCGTTAAATGATGCGGTGGCATTACCTTATAATAACACGTCAACATCATCGTTAAGTTTTTAATAGTGGGATACCAAAATAAAGCATAAATTAAACATTAGGTATGATTTAAAAAAAATAAAGTTTAAGTATCAAGACGGAATAGAAGTAATAGTTTAAATATTAAATGTGTAGTTTATCTTTATAGTAATCATATTGTGTTACACCAGAATACCTAAAACAACTATTCATATTTTATGCATTGAATCAAAATATTACAGTCAAAGGCTATGAAATCTTAACTAAACGTTTGATATGATTTGAGTATTATGTATGTTAAGAGTATGAGTGTTCATTGTCAAAGGGTTGAGAGTTTTTGAATAGATACTACTTTGTATTCGTCCTAGATTTATAAGAAAAAAATATTATTGTGATATTAGATTGAAGCACCTATTTGGAAAAATCGTATATTTTTTCTTTCTAATTGGATATTATAGCTTAAGATTTTTTTTAGATTAATCTGGGATAAGTATAAGGTAGTATCTGTTTAAAAATAATTTCAACTATTTGACATTGAACGCTTACACCCTTGACATTCATGATGTTCGAATTCGGGACCTCAAGAAATAACTATAATTCTTTTATCACCAATATTATTTGGTTCGTGCTAGATTAAGAATATATATATCAATCAAATCAGTTTCCACAAAATATCACTAACAAAAAAGTTAAATAAAATTCTAAAAAGAAAAGTTAAATAAAAGGGTTTGAAAATAGTATAAACATGGTTTAAGTGAAATTATCCCTTTCATAATTAGTTGTCGAACAAGAAAAGAAAAAACTGAATCAAAATCTGGTTTTGACACAATCTTTTTGTTTATATAAATATTAATTTAATGATCGATTCTAATATCGAAGAGAATATGTGTTCGAGTATATTTAATGATATAAAATTATCATAGATTAATCTAGGGTAGACTACACGTTTAATATTTCAGTTATCAATTTTGTTCTGTTTTGGTCACTTAATTACTTTTTTTCAAAATCATATCTAACGTTTAGTTTTCGTTTTATTTTGGTTATTTGCTGTTAAAAATTAACAGTGATGTTGAATATGGTAATGAGATTTCATCATTGAAAAATAAAAAAAAAAATCATGTCAACAGTTCTATTAATTTTTTAACGGTGAATGATCAAAATGAAACTAAAATGTAACATTATGTATGATTATGAAATAAAAAATAATTTAGTGACCAAAACAAAATAAAAGTGACAGATTGAGTCCTAAACGTGTAGTTTTCCCATTAATCTATTATTAACTCAGTGGGTTTAGATAAGTAATGGCCATTTTATTCTTTCAATTTGACCAAAACATATAGGATCATGTTTTTTCCCTAAATTCAAATTCGGGTCGGTTGGATTGTGTGAATGATAAAATTGGGCAGAGTTAAATTTGATTTTAGGGTGAAAATTTTCTAAACGAAGTCGAGATAATAATATAATTATACTATATATATTTTCAATAATTGTTGTAGTGTTTCTCTATTTTTTTATTAACTATCTATTTTACAGAATAAAAATAAGATTTCTTTTTGTATTTGTTTCTAGTCGGATCAAGTTAGATGCAAGTTTTAACTTTAAAATTCAAGTTAAGTTAAATCTTCCTAAACTTGAGTCGTGTCAAGTGTCGAGTGGAGGGATATACTTCTTAGGCCGAGTTCGGATCAGTTAAAACTTAATTCGACTCGACTTATGACCGTCCCTAATTTAGATGGGGAATAGGTAATTATTTTTCCAAACCGTATTGTGTCGGTCCAAAAAAATCTTGAATCTTTGAAAATTTGTCAAAATATGGAGTCATCGTCGATCATTTTGGCTGGATACAATAGATCAACCCTTAAAATATGATCTGCATCAACATCGAAATCATGAATATTAATATAGTTTGCAAATTAACTAAATACATATATGGGCTCAAGCAAGCTTCTCGTCAATGGTACCACAAGTTTCATTAAGTATGTTATCTTGTTCGGTTTTGAGATGAATATTGTTCATGATCCTGTGTATCACAAGTCCAGTGGAAGCAAGTATATATTTATGATTCTATATGTCGATGACATTTTTCTTGCTTTAAATGATGTAGTTTTATTGTATGAAACCAAGAGACTTTTATCTAGGTATTTTGAAATGAAAGATCTTGGGGATGCCTATTTTGTCTTAGTAATCTAGATACATCGATTAATAAAAAAATCTAGATACATCGGGATATATATCATGATTCTTGGATGGTCGCAAAAGAACTACATCAATAAAGTACTCAAAAAGTTTGACATGCAAAATATTAAACCAATTGACACTCCTGTTACCAAAGGAGACAAATTTAATCTTGCCTAATACCTTAAAACTGACCTTAAAATTCAGGGGAAAAAAATAAAAGAATCTATACACATCAGTTGTTCGAAGTCTGATATATACTCAAGTATGTATTTGTCCGGATATTACATACATTGTAGGGATATTAAACAGATACTCAAACAACTCTGGAATAATTGGATAACAACCAAAATAGTTTGAACTATCTTCGGAGAATAAAAGATTACATGCTCATTTATAGGAGATCAGATCATTTAGAAATTGATTGATTTTAATTTCTCTAGGTGCAAAGATAGCAAGAAATCTACTTCATGTTATATTTATATGTTAGTTGGAGGAGCTATATATCGGAAAAATATCAAATGAACAATTGTAGCTTCATCCACTATAGCAACATAGATTGAAGCATGATATGAAACATTAAACCATGAAATATGGTTGTTTAACTTTTTCATTGGACTATTTATTTTGGATAAAGTAGAAAGACCACTTAAATTATTTTGTGACAATAAGCTAGCAGTTCTATATTTTAACAATAATAGCAGCTCGTTGAAGCCAATGCATATTAACATAAAATTCCTAATTATGAAAGAGATAGTACAAATGATAAATATCCATAAAACACATCAAGATAAACTCTATGATAGCAGATCCGTTCACAAAAATTATAACACTAAAGGTCTTTCATGAGCACACTGCTCATATGAATGTTATAAGTTGATGGTATCCTTGTTTGAGTGAGAGTTTTGTTTGCTTATGTTTGTTTTGAGACATTTATGTATTTGGTTTTTTTCTGATTAGAGATAAAATATTCATTTTATTTAATTTCTTTTATTGTTTAGAGATTGACTCCACTTATATTTAAATAGGACCAGTTAAAAATAAACATGTGAGACCCACATTGCATGTAATTACATGTTATGCTCCATGATTAGTCTATGGCATTTGACTGTATTTGTATACGTGATCATTGATAGGTCTAGTCATAATTGATATGAAAAAAGTCACTTTGATCATATATAGATATAATTGACGAACGAGATTATTATGGAATATCTATTGTATGATAGTAAATTTTAAACTCATATGGTCATACATTTATCCAGAAATATATGTTGCCCAAGTAGGAGATTATTACATTAAAATCCATAATTATGGACACATATTTTTAATATATATTGTTATTATAAAGTATGACACAAAATTAAGTGACCAATATGTTGTAAAAGTCCTAAAGTATTAGAAATATCATGAAAATAAAAGTGTGGATACTATTAAAGTTGTATTTATAATTTAATGAATTACAGAGTTATAAATACATATAATAATTAATTCTTAAATCAACTATATAAATAGGGTATATACTCGAGATAAACCTTTCTTCGAGAATCTCAATCCTAAGGTAATCTTCAAGATCTCAATATTTAAGGTAATCTTCAAGATTCAACCTTCTAGATTCTAGTTAATCTTCGACAATAGATTCAAATACATTTTCACAAATATAATTTATTATTCTTAATAATTTGGCATGTTTGATTTCATGTTTAATTATGTGTTGATTCTAATATGACATTTCCAATGACATTGATGATTATGTCCGTATTGAAAGTACAGATCGGGCTGGTAAAACAGGATTGGCAACAGCTTTCTTTAATGAAGGCAATTTGTCACTGGGTAGGCACTAGCTGAGCTAATGCAAGAAGCAAGTCGAGAGGTTCTTGCATGGCTCGAAGGTGACTGCTTCAGTTATCATTCTCCTAGTTGCAAAACAGAGATTGGTATCTTAAGATAATCATTCTTTACCTTTCAAGAAAAACCAGAAAAAAAAGAATTTTTTTTCTCTTTTTTGTAGTACTGCCCATTACTCATTTGATGTAATCGGATATAAGTAGGAACATGAAGAATACACAAAAATGAACAAACAACCAGAAAAAAAAGGTATATTTGACACCATGAACTAAGCACTTACACCAGAGTGAATCACAGAGCTTCATCGTTGGAATCAGAACCATTAAAACAATGTACACGGACTAGGTGAAGGGTTACATCCCCATCTGCGACAAAAATGGAATTGCACCATATCTTTCTCCGGATTAAGCTCTACATGTAAGAAAATGTTTGATCATTGTAATAACTTACCTCTTTCAATTGAGGCATTCAGAAATTGTACAACCTGTGATCATGTATTTATCTCCTATTTCACTTTTTAGACTGTAAACAAAACAAAGTCTCGTTCTTATTGCCCCCTTAACCTTTCATTAAAATCTCTATTACCTTCCTTCGGTTGGCCGGCACCATTGGTTCCGGCAATGGAAAGGGAAATGCTTCTATTTGACTATGTAAACTTACACCTCCTTCACTCTTCTATAGAAAAGAACATAGGCAGCAGATGTCTTGATTCTGTCTTCACTGACCGGGAAAACTCTGTCATCGTCGAACTCGTACCACCTTCCATGCCCGAGCTGCAAATGTTGAAATATATATAAGGATGTCAAGTCCACAGGAACATGCAGAAGAATATGTAATAAGCAATTTAAAGTATGATGCCCCTAAATCTTCAAACCTTTCATTTCTACTTTTAGAGCCTAGAAAATATCTGATTTCTGTAACTTTTTGATATAACATAATGCTGAATTTCAAAAATTAATAGAGATGCCAAAGAAGCCTTAAAACAATTTACTGAGAAGAACAAAAGACATATAAGCATGAAACAATTTCAAGAAAATTCCGAGGCAATATCTACTTGTTGCCCAATTTTCTTGGAAAACTGAATTTCAAACTAACCATAACACACATTAGTTATTGATTAAAACGAACAATCCCCTATAATTGTATACCCCATGTTTAAAATGGCATTCAACAGGCTAGTCAGTCACCTACCTAAATACCAAGCCATTAAATAAACGTGAGAACCTATTTCATTTGTTGATACTACTATTACTAGTACATGCTTTTGAAATTCTAACATGAGAAAATCACAAATAGAGAAATTCTATCCATGGCAGTGAAATAGTAAGACCAGAAAGAAGTAAATTCTAACAAAATCTCATGAAACATAAGATCGAAAAGATGTAACACTTACATCAACAAAAGCAGTATAATGACCGCCTCCCATGCCTCCATAGTGATTACTTATTGCATATAATTGGTAACGATTGGAGAATTGGCCATCAGTAGGGGAAATGTAATTGGAGAGGTCGAGATCATGAATTGGAAAGTCCACGTACGTTTCTAACTTGTTCTTGAAAAATCGGCTATACGAGAATCTCTTTAAATGAATAACTAAAATCTCAGGCAATCTCCAAAGATCCAACTTTTTGTTGGCTTGTTGAGGCTTCTTGCACCTAGGGCAGTACCTAGATACAATCACAATACTCATAATTAGATTCAACAAGAATATGATTACTTCATCAAGAATATATACTATGAACTAAAGTATATATTGGGGGGAAGACAGACTAACCACATGTCATCCGGTCCTAAAGGTTCCTCCTGCAAGAAACCTTCCAGACATCTATACAAGGAAATGGATTCTTGAGGCCTCCTTGTAAACAGCTGGGTCTTGAAAACCTCAGGCAATGAACTGAGAAGGCATGTGTCATACTTTTCAATCATCTTATCTGGCCAGTGAACGCTCACATCCAGCTGCTTGGTAAATCTTGATACTTGTACAGGGTCATTCATCTTTATCTCTACTGGATCCATTTTATCAACCAAGTAGAATTTGAAGTCAGTGTTTAGATGAAAATCATTCTCTGCTACACTGTCTGAACCTGTATCACTATCCGAAACTAAGGGGCTAATAATATCCTCCATCTTAGAAGTTTCACTAACAGTATTTCCTATCTCATCACCATCATAATCATTTAATGTATCTTCAACTGAAATTAGAAATGGACTAAGTAACTTTAGAAACTGATTACGGATCTCAAATCCACTTGAAAGATTTTGCATCCTTGATACAAGAGGAACACCAAATGGCTTCCAGTTTGATGCCATCACACCAAAACTATTCAACCTGGTAACGTATAAAAAACTACATGAGTAGATAAACAATTATCAGAATTTTCCAATTTCAACAAGTGACATAACAACAAAAATTCCAGTGATCTTTCCAATAAATGGACATGAGCTAGAAGATGAGCTCAATCTAAAATAAATTTGGTATGGTTAAGAGCATCTTGTTTGCCAAACCAACCAACTAATACAGTCTATGCCACAAGAATCTTGACAATATGGGGTAAGGGAACACATACCTTTCCAGCTGCTGATGTGAGAATACAACTAAGGGGTAAGTCTCACTAACTTTTGGTAAGCGATAGGCGACAAGTCTGTCATCATCTCTAATCAAGGCTAATGAATCAGACGGGTCATCCAGTAAACGGAAAATTTGGTTCTTGTACATCTGCATATAAGTTCAAAAGCTAGTGTTCATAAAGAAAACCAAAGAGGGGTAAAAGTGAAACCCCATAATATGGTAGTCCAGTCCATGTAAAAACAAGAATAAAAAACTGATTTTTCTATGAGTGAGTCATATAAAGTAAACGGTCTAAGCACTCAAATTACATGGCCTAAACTTTCCTAAAGACAAATGGAGAACCAATATGCAAGACCACAAGGATGATCCAAGAGAAACCTAGAATATTGATCTTTACAGTTACATGGCCTAAACTCTCCTTAAGATGAATGGAGAACCAATATGCAAGATGCAGAGGAATGATCCCAAAGAAACCTAGAATTCTGAGCTTTCCAGTCACATGCAAAGTCAAAAGATTTATTTCTTCATTGTGACTGTTTTTTTTATAAGATTTGAAGGTCTCTTTAAAAACCTCCTTCTTGATTAATGGAACTTGTAAAGAAGCTTCTTAATCATCGGAAGGAGGAAAAGAGTGCCTTATAATTTCATTGAAGAAAATAAGAATTACAACCTTGGAAAGAAAAATCCAAGTAGAACCCTTACAACAATTCTTGAGCCTTAAAACCGAACTATAGAAGTCAACAACATAATAATCAACCTATACCAGCCTTTGCTAGAGCATCGGCATCCATATTAGCTGTCCTTGCAATCCATCTAACAACCCCCCCGACAGTTTTAAGACACTCAACAATATCTCTAACAATGAAACCATAAACAGCTGGACATGAGACAACCTTATTGATCCAGTCTACTGCAACTCTGCTATCACTCTCTATGATCAACCTATCTTTAACCCTCCCTAGGACAAAGGTAAAGAAAGAGATACCCCTTTGGATAGCTTTAAGTTCCTTCAATGTTGGAGGTCCAGAACCATCCGGTTCCTGAAAAGAACCAAGGATTGCACCAGAATGATCCCTCATAAGACCACCCAGACCTGATTTTTCCCAATCACAACTAATTGCTGCATCCACATTCAACTTGATGAAACCCGTAGGGGGAGGTAACCAAGGGGTTATGGAAGACTTCAAGAAATTGTAGGACGAGTAAGAATCCCCTATAGAAGGATCAGAGATTAAGGAGTCCTTAGGAATAGAAACATCCTTATTCTTTGCTAAATACCAAGAGGCCAGCCTAACTCTTGTTAAGAAGAATAATTCAGTCTGATCGAGCTTCCCCCCTTCAAAAACTATGTAATTCCTGAATTTCCAGATTGTCCAAATAACAGCCCCAGGAATGAAAGTCCAAATTACCGAATTAGATTTCAACTCATCCCAAGTAAGAAGAAATTTTTTTGCTTCTGCAGAAAACACAGAACTAAATCTCCAAAAAATTATAAATTATTCCACAAAGACCACGCAACCGAACAGGAGAAGAATAGATGCGAAGAAGATTCTTCAACCATTTTACAAAGAGGGCATAAGCCATCCTCAATACCTTGAACTCCTCTTTTAACCAATTCGGATTTAACTGCAATTTTTTGAAGCACAATTTGCCAAACTAATGTTTCAACTCTAGAGGGAACCAATCCTCTCCAAACAATCTTGTTCCAGAAATGAGACTCTTCTGAAATTGAAGCACAACTCTTACACAAGAACCGACTGTATAAACCCCATCCCCACTGCCTTTCCAGATCAATCCATCGCTAGAATCAATAGATAGAGAGAAAGAAGAAATGATGCTCACCAAATTGCACCATTGTTCAAGCTCCCAATCGTTTAAATTTCTTCGAACTTTAACATCCCAAATCCAGCCCGAAGAAAGAAATTCCCCAAACTCACAAAGTTTACCGAATTTATTAGTTGACAGTGAAAACAGTCTAGGAAATAGAATCTGAAACGGAAAATCAGCAGCCCAGCTATCTTGCCAAAATCGAACATGCTTACCATTTCCGACATAAAACTTGCACAAACTACGGAACTTACAACCAAATGAGTCTTGTTTGAAATGGTTATTAACCACTGATCTCCACAACCAGGAGGATTGATTGCTGTCAAACAATAATCTAGAAGAGTCAATGTTGTATTTGCTACAAATAAAATTCCTCCAAACAGAATTTCTCTCATTTGCAAACCTCCAAGACCATTTCCCTAGCAATGCTCTGTTCATAGAAATCAGATTCCGAACTCCCAAGCCTCCCTCAGTCTTTGATTTGCAGACATCATCCCATTTAACCCAGTGTATCTTCTTAATACCATTGCTCCCTCCCCATAAAAAATTAGACATAATAGAATTGAGAGTCTTGAGGATAGAAGCTGAAATCTTGAAGATAGACAAAAAATACGTAGGTAGTGAGGACAGAACGGATTTGATCAAAACCAGTCTCCCTGCTAAAGAAAGAGTAGCAGCCTTCCAACCTGCTAATTTAGAGTGAAAATTCTGTACCACTGGTTCCCAGATAACAGAGGAATTCCTAGTAGCACCTAGAGGGAGGCCTAGATAATTAGATGGGAAGTTTCCCACCAAACAACCGATAGAATCTGCCCAAGTTTTAACCTCCTGTTGGGATATATTAATCCCGAAGAGTCTGCTTTTCTTAAGGTTTAGTTGAAGCCCTGACATAACCTCAAATACTCTAAGCACCCTCTTCACATTCATAATTTGAGTCTTCAAAGCTCCACAGAAAATAATTAAGTCATCCGCAAACTGCAAGTGTGAAAGATTAAAATACCCCTCCTCCTTGCCAACTGTCAAACCAGCAAATAAATCCTCCGAAACAGCTCTTCGGATTAAAAGATTCAATAATTCCCCCACTAGGTTAAAAAGTAAAGGCGAGAGTGAACATCCCTATCTAAGGCCCTTGGCCATTGGAAACTCCTCGGATGGAACCCCATTAACTAACACTGAGATTGAAGCTGTAGAAACACATCTCCTAATCCAACTTATCCATGTGAAACCGAAACCCATTTTTTCCATCACCTTGAACAAAATAGGCCAGTCAACCGTATCGTATGCCTTTTTGAAATCAACTTTAAACACACAACCCTTTAGCCCTTTCTTCCTCCAATAATCAATACCCTCGTTAGCAATGAGTGAGCAGTCCAAAATTTGTCGACCGGGAATAAAAACGAATTGAGTCAGGCTTATAAGATCTCCTATACAACTTCTAAGCCTCCTTGAAAGACACTTGGATAATATCTTATACACTCCTCCTACTAGGCTTATAGGTCTATAATCATCAAGACTTCCAATGTTAGATTCCTTAGGAATAAGGGTAATAAAAGTATGGTTAATACCATGTTCCCATTCTTTCCCCACAAAAAATCTGTGAAAAAACTGCATAATATTCCCCTTAAGAACAGACCAAAACCTTTTAAAAAAACCCAAATTCAATCCGTCGGGCCCCGGAGCTTTATTGCTATCACAAGACTTTAGAGTTTCCCAAACCTCCTCCTCGGAAAACTCCTTCTCTAAAAGCATATTCTGTTCGAAAGAAATTCTGGGAAAAACCAAACCAATATCTTCAACTTCTAAAGTAGACAGATCATTATAAATTTTGAAAAAATGATCTTTGACCTTGGCCTTGATAACAGTTGGATCGTGAGTAGTATTCCCATCAACAATTAAAGCATTCAGAGCATTTCGTTTCCTCCTAACTGAAGCACAAGTATGAAAGAATCTTGTGTTTCGGTCCCCATCATTAAGCCACTTCTTCCTAGAATTTTGAAGCCAAATCTGCTCCTCAATTCTGTGAAGTCTCCATAACTCTGCTCTACAAACACTAAGCTCTTTAGCAATCCCCTGAACAGAGCTGTTATTCAGCTGCTGGGCGTCCTCCTCAAGCTTTTGAATTTTCTTTTCCAAATCTGATATTGCTACTCCCGGAAATTGATTCTTCTTCCCTGACCATTTCTTGATGGCAGCTTTAGAGTTCTTCAAAATACTTAAGATCCCACCTTTTCTCCCAGTCTTCTTACAGTCTGTGATAGAATGTCTGACCATATCCTCAAAGCCGTCTTCCTCCATCAGATAATTAAAGAGTCTAAACAGTCTTTTCCCCCAATCAATACCTTCATCTTTCAATAAAATAGCATTGTGATCTGAAATGGATTTAGGAATAAGAGACTGAGAAATCTCAGGAAAAGTAGCTAAAAATTGACCATCCACCAAGAATCTGTCCAATCTAACAAAAGTTGGATCATCTTGGTTATTACACCAAGTGAACCTTCCCCCCATTCAAAGGCAGATTAATTAAACCTAAAGACTGAATAAACTGAGAGAAAATCCTCATAGAGAACCTATTATGTGCTTTACCCACCTTCTCATCTTCACACAAGTAAACATTAAAATCTCCTCCAACACAAACCGGCAGATTCTGTCCAGAAATGAACACACTGAGTTCTTCAAAAAAACTCTCTTTTTCTTCCTCCACTGAAGGCCCATAAACATTAATGAGGACACTTCTGACTTGATGCAACCTGAATTTCCCTACAACAGCAATGAATCTTCTGTTAATGCAGTGATTTTCCATCTCAAACACATTGTCATCCCAACAACATAATAAGCCCCCTGAAGAACCAATAGCTGGAGATTCAATAACACTCTGAAGAGTATTCAGTCCATTCCTTCTCAGAAAAGACCTTTGAACCTTCTCTACTTTAGTTTCTTGTAACCAAAGAAAAGAAGGATATGAGCTAGAGACCAATCTCTGGACTGCTTTCTGTTTTTCTCTTTTCCCCAAGCCCCTAACATTCCATGAAATTATTGCTAATTTGTCTTTCATTAAAATTTCTTGAAAACCTGACTTCCCCACTATGGCAACTCAACTGGCCAAATTCAAGCCCTGTTCTAATTTAATTATTTTGTCCAGAAAAGCTTCCTTCCCCTTAGTAAAAGAGACCCCCAAAATCTGACTCACTTGCCATGTGGCTACTGCTTCATCTAAAAGCTCTGAGAATTCTGTAGAAGAGGCTGTAAAAATATTAACATGTTCTAGAGCTTCTCTTACCAATGATCTTCTTGCCCTTCTTTTGCAAAATCCTGATTTGGAATTAATCAAATGACTGTCCGTAACACAACCCTCTGGCTCTCCATCGAGACTACTAATCCCAGCTTTCTCTACTAAATTTGTCTCCTCTCTGCCTGGAGAATTAAGCTCTGCTGCTGTAGAAATCTTTTGTATTGGCGTGCAGACCTGATCACAAACTTTCTTTTGAACTGGAACAACCTCTGTAACATTAATTTCCTTATGAATCTCCCCATGCCAATGTTTTCTCTCCCTCCTTCTATAAACTTTGCTGTAACTGGCCATTCTCCTTCTCTGTAGAGGCTCACTTTTTGTGGATAGCGAGCTTCTATGCACCACCATCGCTTTATTTCTTAACTGGCTCTTCAAACAATTCGATTTAGGAACTATCAGCGAAAAATTAGGATCAGGAACCTCAATATCTACACTGGCAGACGAAGCTGAAATGCAACTGGTCCCTTTATTCTTGTTTTTAACACTGCTAGCCTATATAATTCCCCTGTTTTTAACCAGTTTACCAAACTTGTTAATTGTATATCCTGGCCCAGAAGGAAAAAACTTTGAAGCCTCCGATCCAGTCAGCTCATTGTCAACAGATAGGGCCTCCGGCCCATTAGCCGAAATATTTGAATTTCTGATGCCCAAACCTGCAAACTCACCTACTATGGTATTCCTACCATTCTGAACACCTGACAACCCTCTTTTAATGCCTTTCCCATGTTTAGAAAGTCTTGGAAAGTGCATTTCCCCATCAGACTGTGCTGTGCCGAAAGAAACACCATCATCATTCCACAAGTCAACCTTCTGTCTGAACATCTCTGCTGATTTGACTGAACTTTCCTCATATTCTGACTTCTCCCTGACTCTACCTTCCTCAGACCCCAACTCGCCATACTGTTTCCCATCTGCACCGATCACCGGAAAAAATTTGAAAAAAGGATTTGCATCTTCCCAGCCCGCTCCAACTTTGATCTTAATCCGATACGATCTGCCATAGGATCCAAAATTAGTGAATTCTGGAACATCGAAAGGACTTGCAACTCGCAAAAGAATCCTCACAGACGAGAGATCCTCCCTGTTCTTAGTGGACTCATGGATTTCTACCATACTTCCCCATCTCCCAGCAGATCGTTCCAAGAAGGATTCATCCCAACATAACAGAGGAACCCCACTTAACTCAAGCTGACAATAAGCCATTGGAACACCTTCTTCATTCAGTAAAGGTGCTAATCTATCAAAACAAAAGTTTATTACATCTCTCTTCTTTGTCCATGCCTCCATCATCTCTTCGAGAGATTTGAAAATGATAACACAGGAATTACGGACATAACCCCAACCAACAATCTGAACTTCGTAACCATTAGTAATGAAGAACTCCTGAACTGACTTAATATCTAAAGAGAGCTTAAAAATCCCTGTTAAAGATCTTTTGACCCAATTCTGATTCTCAGAGGGAATATGCATTTCCATAACATTCTTCAATGCTTTCTCCCTTTGATTCCCAACAGAATGTGTCTCCCTATACCCCAAAGTATTGTTCCTCATATCCTCAGTCAGTAAAGCCTCTTTGTACGATCTGTCATCCCTAACACTCCTACTGGAAAAATCAGCCTCTTTCAACTTTGAAGGACCTGCTGTAAACAAAACTGGACCCAACTGAACTGGACTATTCTTGGCCACATTCCTTGGACGAACTTCATTGTATTTTGCAACACCAACTGAAATCCTTCTCCCATCTATCAGTGAATCATTTAACATATCAATTGCTCTCCTCAAACTGAACAAAAGCGAAAGTGGAAAATCTATATTTTGGGTTTTTAGTTTCTTTCGGGATGAAAACTCTCTCCACAGTTCCCTGAGACGAAAAAATATCTCTAAGCTCACGCTGAGAAACTCTCCTACTTAGATTATCGACAAAAGCCTTCCAGACCTCGCCTGAACCTATTTTCCCTTTCAACTTTTCTCTCTCTCTCTCTCTACTTTTCTCTCTCCACATTCATTGTGACTGTTAATTTAATAACAACTTTAAGTTACAGTTCTAAAGTCCAATTATGTAACTTAGAGCATTCAAAGTGCCTCAAGATGCTTGAGGGAAAAAAGCCATCTGAGATGTAAGTCATTACTCCCTATCATAGAAAAAGAAAAGTCTAGCTGCATACCTCAGCCACAAGCAGGATTTCATCACTTCTTAAAGAACATGCCACACTTAATTTGTCGAGGAGATCCTTCAGCCTCCCACACTTGGGAACCGTAAAAGTAAATGGAATTGGCAATGCAATCCCATCAGTGCTGAAAACAGTCACAGTCATTGTCCGCATAGTTGTTGAAGGTAATGGCAGTGTCAGGTACATAAATGGATCAAATGTCACGGAGACCTTCTTGCAAACGGGGCAAACCAAAGTTGATCGGTACTGACCCTAGAATTAAACAAAAGACACGATGAAAAAGAAGGAAGTTCAAGTCAAGAAAAACTCCAAGAAACAAATAAGAAAACAAGATGAAGATTCATTGTTATGTCAAACATTAAAAAACTAATTAGAATAAACGCTGAAACTTGAAGTATTTCTGGTGCTAATGAACAGCCATTTGAGGAAGCTTTAAAGTTTTAACTATAGAATACTCGAAAAATTTATAATATTTAGCATGAATACCATAAACTCCAATAATTAAACAGTTATAAGACAACATAAACTTCAATGGACTCACTTGGCAGACGTCAACTATGATGGAATCATTGCGAGCCAAATGATTTTGCCAATATTCATCTGCCACTTCTTTATCTGGACAGGCCTCAGCATCCTTAGCTTCTATATATGGCTTGTGTTTTACACGATTCAAATCTTCATGAAGGCCATCCAGTAGAAAAGCAAGAAATTCCTACATCACAACCATAAAATATAACTCACTGTTGGCAGAGGAAAAGGAACCACGAAATTAAAGAAATATAGCTAGAATTAGGATATCCCTTAATTTTGGAACAAGACCTTTTCCTTCCACTTTTTCAGAGAAACAAGAAACACTTAGCCCTCACTACATGCTCTTCCTTTGTTATTTATTTAATATGTGAGGGGAACTGGGATGTTAACGTTTTAGAATTACCCAAAATGAACATTTAGTAATCAAACTAAGTAATTTCATAATTTAGACACTGCTCAGGCAGTAAGTAATTGACAGAAAAGAAAACAAGGAAATAGAAATGAAACCACATTTCTTATAAGCAAAGTAACTTTACTAACTTGTGAATCATGCTGATTATAACCACTGAATTGGGGAGCAAACTTAGAAAGTTTGAACTTGAACATTCTTGGAGCCACTGGAGTTGCACCTGGAGCCCATAGCTTCCGCAGCAGTTCTCCAAATGCTAAAACAAGTTCACCCTAAGCATGCAAGAGATAATTATGAGAAGAAAAAAAATGTAAATGAATATGAAGAAAGAAACTTCATGGATGAAAGAAGGAATATCATACATTCATTCCCAGGGGGTTTTCATGATTTATATCTTTCCGATAGTCTCCAAGGAAGTAGTCAACAAGCTGTGGTGTATGAACCAAACACTGTATTGCACTGTTCATGAAACAAGTATTACCAAGATTTTGTAGTCCTGTCAAACCCAATAGACCAATGCCCCTATAACTGCTACCAAAGAGTGATGCACCATCTGGAGTTGAATAAGAGCTAAGGCTGTTACTACTCTTATTTATCTTGACTCGACTCTTGCCAGGGCTATTTTCTGTCTTAGACCATTCTGCCAATCTCTCATTGGACTCTTTTGTTGATACAAAAAACCCATGAACATTCAATTCAAGAAGAACCTGCATACGAAGGGAGTAGAAAATGAAGCTTTTGAAGGGCTGCCAGGCATGGAAATACACACAGAAAGGGTCTCTAATTTACTAAAACCAGTTTCCTTCCACAGGTATAAAGTCTCTGTAAAAAGACAACGAATCAGATGTTTTATATCATTTTAATTTTTTAACAATTGTGCTTTAGGAAAAAAATCTTGATAAATGACAAAGAAGCAGATTAAACCAACAAATTGGAACAGTAAGGTCGATAAAAGTACAAATACAGTAGACCAACTAGTCACACCTCTTTCCCTGGTTTTCTAGGAGAAATGTTGGGCAAATTGATTCTTTCATTTGTAAGAAACTGGCTTGTCTGCCCTGAGAAGTCCCAAATCTGCAACTGCACAACAATGAATAAAAACCATGAACTACCTTCGCCAAACATGGCACCATTTTTACTCATTGCAAAACCTACCGGCTCGGACTGGGAACTAAAAATAATGCAAGCTCTTCTATAAAGATCAACCGCATTGTCCTGAAACAAACAACTGTCAAATATTGGAAGTAAAGCCCTATATTCAAAAAGCAAGGATAAGAGTCAAGACCTATAAAAAAAAAAAGCCAGATCCAGTCCCCGTCATATTTTACTAATAGCAATGAATATTCACCAACCAAAACCACATCAAACTGCCAGGAAATGGGTCCACCGATCAATATTTATGCAAAAGGAACAATCTCAAGATGACAACTGCCAGCATAGAACAAAGAGACTAAAATCTTAAGAATTAATTTCTTCCTTTTAGAGGAAAAGGAAAGAGGAATTTCAAACACCCCCCCCCCCCGAAAAAAAAACAACATCAAAGAGGAAAGAAAATGGATTTCATGCAGCGGTAATTCACATACCAAAATCACACAGTTCAGTAACAAAACTCCAGAAAAAAAATATACTAATAACAAGGGACTGGAAAAGAAAATGACCTTTAAACTTATCTTCACTAACAACAAATTTGTTTCTGGTGAAAAAGAAAGCCTTATTTGCAAAGGAAACAACTCTTGAGATTGAACTTCAGAAACATGACTGTATGTAGCATCTTCTATCGATGTTTTGGAGTCATTGTGCCTAAAAATGGAGAATAAATGAATAGTTAAAAGGAGCATAAAATCAACACCTTCAACACCAAAGGTAACAAGTTCTAAAAACGGTCAGCAGATGCAAATTCTCCAACATCGATAGAAAAGTAGAAAACAAGACAAAAGTACTTGTTGGTGATACAAAGGCAGGCATATACCAAAAAACAGTCGATGAAAAGTAGAAATCATCTAAACTAGTTCAACTAGATAGTATTTTTGTTTATCTCTAAATCAAGAACACCTACAATGGAGGGTCAAACAATGAAACTATAAGAATAAATGAAATATCAAACAAGCCTAACCATTCATCTCTGGGTTTAATATAGACCTAAATCAAACCCAAACAGCATTGCAAAACAAACTCATCTCACCATTTAAGAGTCCTCAGCCACAATGCTTCATTAACCAAAGCATATTCACGGCCAGAGACACCTTCCACCTTATCCCTACTCGTGAAACTCTCCTCCTTCCTCAAGTCCAGTACAATTTCAGAATCACCAGAGCCATGGTTGGATGACACAGTGTACAAAATGCCTCCAATTTGGTCGAAAACACTTCTCTGAGCCTCCCTCCACCACCTGAGATTAAAGGAAAGAAGCTTGTAATCGGAAAAGAACACTGAAACTACAGTGAATCGCATTTTTTTTTAATGAAAGTAAGTGAAATGCTGAATCATGCAACTGACTTTAACCAGACAAAAACCTTGAATAAGTTAAATCATTCGGTTTCGTTTCACTTTTTTTTTCACAGCAACCAAACAGAAGATTACAAAAATTTAAAATTTCAAAAGTAGACGACCTGTACGGAACTAGGTAGAGTTTATTGCGATTGGTTTCGTCGTCGTCCGGCTCGTCATACTCGTCGCAATCGAGGCGGGAAGAGAGAGGGCGCTTACGAGCGTAAGGATGGTAATCCAGGTCGAAGAGATGATCGTCGTCCTCCGAGGAGAAGATGTCATCCATCGACAAGAACACTACGGCGCGTGCGGCTTTCCACAACACGGCTTTAAAAAGCCTGAGAGAGGACGATGAAAGGCTTGCAAGCTTCAACGATAGCAAACGCGTCGTCGTTTTGGCGATTATGATTGGGAAATTGAGCGTCTCTTTGATCCCGTTCATAATAATAACAATAATAATAATAAATTTTAAATTCCTTTGTTTTGAATTAATTCAGTAAAAGGAATTAATGACGCCCCCCAAATAAATAAGCAACCTCATTTCAATAGTAATTAAATAATAAAATATTAAAAGTTCATAAATAAAAGGGTAAATATGCGAATAGTCCTCATATTTTCAGTATGACCTATTTCAGTCATCAATTTAAAAATTAATGAGAAATGATCCCTAACATTATCAATCCTTTTAATTTTAGTCCCTAATGTTATCGATCCACTTGATTTTAGTTCCTCAGTCATTAAATCCCGTTCAACTTTAGTCCCTCAACAATGTTAGAGACTTAAATAAAAGGGAGGTAAACAAAAGGGAGCTAACGAAAATTAATAGCAGAGAGAGACTTAAACCGGATGGACCAATAATATGAGGGACTATTTACTCTTAATTTTTAAATTAATGACCAAATTCGGTCAGACCCTAAACAAAAGAGACTATTCACATAGTTTACCCAAAATAAAATAAAAAATTGGGTAAATTATGCATGTAGTACCTAAACTATCAGTTTTGATCTATTTTAGTACCTAAACTTTCAATTTTTTTTCAAAATCATATCTAAAGTTTAGTTTTTATTTCATTTTAGTACTCATCGTTACGTTTTGAAAAATGAAAGTTTAGGTACCAAAACACGTTTAGTATCTAAATCATATTTAAGTTTTGAAAATTTTAAAAATTTAGATACTAAAATTGATCAAAATTGATAGTTTAGGCACTAAATGCGCTAAGATTTTAACGAAAGGTATTAAAATGAAACAAAAAGTAAACCTTAAGTATGATTTTGAAAAAATTAAAAGTGTAGATACTTAAACAAAATAAAACTGATAATTTATATACTAAATACGTAATTTACCCTAAAATATACATTGCAGGAATTGAAGAGCTATCGGCTGCGCTTTTACTTTAGATTGGGCCTTGTCTTTTTGGTGCTAAAAGGAGATCCGGAGCGATAGAGGTGGACAGCACGCGTCGCTTATGAGACTGGTGGTTGCCAGAGTGGAGGGTTATTATGTAGAGGGTTCTGTGTGGCGTACTGGCTGTAAAATTGATGGGGCTGGTGGTTGACACGTAACATATATTCCACTTATGTAAATGGTAAACTGGATAAATAGTCAATTATGTTCAAATAAAATTATTTTTTGTCATTAATATTTTAAAAGTTATATTATACCTAATATTATATTTATATATTCAAGTTCGAGATTAAGAATGTTTGATTTGATTTTGAAATTCTTAACTAGATTTTAGACGTGATTAAAGCATATTAAAAACCAAAAGGAAGCAACCAATAATTACTTGGTCTAGTGGGATGAGACATTAAATTATTTAAATAAAGTGTTAAGAGTTCAAGTCCTATATATATTATATCTATCATTATATTATATATGCATGCAGTGTAACACCTACAGATCAATACAGGTGATCCGATCCGATGTGTCACATTAGGACCATCAGAACGACCTACAGTAAAAATATCGAAAAAATTTAAAATTTCTGTTAAAACGAGTAAAGTCATAAAACAATTTATAATTAAAATAAAAGTTCAGAAAATCATTCATATATCACAAACAAAATTAAAATCATACAAGTTTCAGACTCAGTATAAAAATCAAATGTGACCTCATGCCCCCTAATTACCCTCGTACCATACTCTTCAACCAAAGCCAAAAGAACTCCCATTACAGATGTCGATAGTTGTACTTGATCAATTCTTATAACCTGAAAGGGATAGTAAAAGAGTGAGCTTTGGGAAGCTTAGTAATACATAACTACCAAGTGATGCTGAACGACATGCAAATAATAGGCAAGCATAAAACTTTCCTTATCGATTCAGAAATTCTATAGGTTTTAGGGATGAGCTATGGTCCTATTGATATTTCTTCAAGTAAAGACATGAATATTTCAGTCCATAGGAAACATTCAGAGTACCAAGTTCGGGAGATCGGAATGGGATGTCTAGTGTGTTCCAACAAAACAGAGTAGTGTATATAGATCCTTTAAAAAAGTTAGTGGTTTAAAACATATTTTAAAATCATAGTAATATCCTCCAACCGAACACCTTTATGCAGTTTCCCCAAAACTGCATCCATAAGGACTTACCCTAAGCACATAGCAAAGGAGCCACCCTAAGGGAATACCTTGGGGCCTATGGGCTACCCAAGAGTCTCCTTAGGTCCGTAAGGAATTACTAGCTTGATCAGAGTTGAACCTCCATACTCCAAAATCATACCATACAATATCCAGTAGAAATCTGTAACAGTAAATAGTAATATCAAGATCGTGATCCAATAAAATCTCGTAAGAGTGATAATGAAATAAGCCACATAACTGGCCTCCACACATACACCATATGCAGTCCCATGATTTACTCAAGGCAGTTCCTTGGGACCTTAAAGCCTACCCAAGGTCACCTTAGGTCCATAAGGAATTGTCAACTTGATCAGAGCTGGACCTCCATACTCCAGCCTACCCAAATGATACCTCGGTAATCCGTTCATACAATTAATAGTAGATTTCATGATCAATAAATCATGAACGATTATATTTTTCATTGAAAACAGGTAACCATGGAACACATACCATGTAGCCATAGTTCATAAGCCAGTAAATTAGTAATTTCAAAAAATCACGTTTTAAAACAGGTAAAACATTTACATGTCACATAAGGAACACACTAGAGGATCCAGACATTCTTCGATAGTACTTGGTATTTATCATGTAGGGAGCAATGTAACTTTTGTAATGTAAAAGGATTTCAGAATCAAGATCCCTATAAAAAGAGGTTTGATAGCTAACGGAATCATCATTCATTCGGGAAGTGATTTATCAAGATCATATAATATTTAGATATTTTTCGAAGGCAATTGAGTAATCAGGAAGGCATTCAGAATTCTTTTACATCAGAATTATTGAAGATCTAGATATAACATGAGTGTTCCCATTATTTAGGCAAATAAGAGTATTCCAGACATTTTAATTTCTGACGGATTCTTAGTAACTTAATCCGATAAGGGTAAAAATGGTAGTTTGCATTATTCTGAATTTATACTGAATTATCATGATTTCGAGTCAAATCGTACTAACCGATCTCCACCCTATAAAATTTCTCAATATTTCGAACTTATATACTTCACGAATAATCACTTCTTAATATTGATTACGATAGTTGAACTGGTCACTTTCATACTCGAGGTTACTTCAGTCATCTTAGAGTTCAAGGTATTCTAATCATTTTTAGGGTTTAAGGGTATTTCATTCATTTGAATATCGGAGTTATTATAATATTTCACAACTCAATTACATTTCGGTAAATTCTTTTTCAATCCAAATGTATGTACCTTTTCTGGTAATTTGGTCATATATATCCGTTCAGAGTTATTTGAGATTTTAGGTATGACAGGAGTTCCATTATTCTGGAAATCGAGGGCATTTTAGACATTTGGTTATTGGAGAATTCTTAGTAATTTAATCTAATAAGAGTAAAGCGATTATTTGTGGTATTCAATTATATTGAATTATCATGATTTCGAGTCCAATTAAACTACAGATCCCAACACTACGATATTTGTCAATCATTCGGATCGTGATACTTCTCTATTATTCACTTCTTAACACTAACTGCACTAGCTAAAATGATCAATATCAGGATCATCATTGAATGGATCTTAGGGAGATGGACATGTATTCCAATGGTATTTATTTCATTTCTGTGTTGCAACGATATCAAGAAATGTCGACATAATGGATTCATGGTTCAAAACCCTTATAGACGATATAATATATAAGTTCATTAGTGTTTCCACAATTTAGATACATACATTACTTTCATCCAGTTCAACTTGGTCATATAATATAGTCATTTCGAGTAATTCAGACATGAAATATACATTCGGTAATTTAGTCTTTGGGTGTACGCTCAGGAAATAGAAATTCTAGGTCAGTTTGGTATTCGAGATTGATTTATTCTTTTCATAACTTGAGGGTATTTAATCATCCAAGGCTTAGAGGTACTTTGGATCATTTTACACTTCAAGGGTATTTGAGTCATTTTAAACTTTAGGGGCAATTCCATAATTTCATAATCAGGTAGTTTTGGTATTAAAGTTTTTAACGAGGATAAATAAAATTTAAAGATTCTGAGGTTATTTGCTCTTTCGGATAATCACTGAACTTGAAATCTTTCTTATCAGTCTTCTTGTGTATATGCAGATAGTTTAAGCCTTTTTTAGTTAATTTTTTTTATTTCGCAATTGGATTGTGTTTAGAAATTTTAACTACACACATGGAACCATATATGTACTCAACCATGCATTTACCAATACCAACATGTTCCATACAACATGTATAAGGTAGTAATGTATTACCATAATTTTCGTTCTCCATCGATCGAATATTTAAACTCAATTCGATCGCCCTCGAACTTGAATCTAACATCCAATAATATCTCGAATACATATAAATAGAAATTACATCAGAAATGAGGCTTAATTGCAGAAAACGGATCAAATCAGAAGGTAAAATGTTTAAAACAGCTTATCGAGATTGAATTTGAGGAAACAGACTTCATATTCAGATTCAGGATGTCGAAAAACATAAAATATGACTTTTTAAAAATTTTGACTATTTGGTCAAAGTCAACATGTTGACCCAGACGAGTTGACTCGGATGAATTGACTCAGTCTACATTGACTCAGTCTATATTGACTCAACCGAGTTCACTAGGTTCAGACTGGTTTTACTGGACCGGCGGACGAATCCCACACGCACTGCTCGCGCATTCTACTGCGACGGGGCTATTTTCATCAGCTGGTCACTCCAAAATACCCCTTTCCACGATTTAAACTCAATTCAAGCCAAAAACTAACCAAAACCAACATGAACCGACCGAAAAGTGTGCGAGACTTACCCCCAACGGTGAACGACAGTGGCACGATGAAGAGGCGACGATCCTCACTGGGTTTTGGTCGC